AAAACATCTATTTTCAAGCAAAAATGTCGTGAGTTTGAACCTCAATTCTCTTTATTGTACTAAAAGTATATATATATATATATTAATATGAAATTAAGAATGTAATGAGGGGTTCATCTTCCAAAAAAATATAAGTTTTTCTAAAAAACAAGGATTTTTTTTTTAAAATACAACATTATAATTTGGTAAGGGTGAGAATTCGAACTTTCAGTCAAATAGAAAATATTTTTGGTGCCTCTAAGTGATACTCAGAGTTGACATTGGACAAGAAAATATATATATATTAAGGCCCCAATTAATAACCATGTTATTTTTTATTTTTTGTTTGTGAATATTAAGCTGAGAATCTAACCACATTTTTTTTAAGGACAACACAACTCCACCTATCTATTCATTTATCTTATTATTAACTTTTTTAAAAAAAATCAAAATCTAAGCCAAAATTTTGAAAATTATAAAGAAGTCATTTTCAAAAACTTGTTTTTGTTTTTAAAATTTTGCTAAGAATAATTAAAATTTGGTGGGAAGAAATGTGATAAAACATACCATGTGAGAAAACAAATACAATTTAAAAAAAAAAAACAAAACGAAAAAAGGCCTAAATTATGGAACTTTGAGAAATTGGAATGGCCATTTATTATTATTTTTAATTTATAAATGTTTTACCGAGTTCATAATTTATAAATGTTTTAATTCTTTGGAAAATATAGACTTTTTTATATGGAATAATGTAAAATTTAATTAAATACAACTACAAACTTAAAAAAGTATTTATAAAAAATAATATATATTAATATTATTTTATATGTATAAAATAATAAAATATTAAACGGGACAGGGGACCTCCCATCCCCACCCCGTCCCCGTTGGGGACCCCGATTAGGATCCCTAGTTTGACCCCATCCCCAATCAAATTGGGAATTTCCGACCCGATCCAGTCGGGTACCCGCGGGGATCAGGTCCCGCAGATTTTTTTACCCTCCCTAGGTATGACTTATATTTTTGTGTCCTTTTTCGTGAGTAAGAAAATATAGGATGGGACACCTCTCTTATGTGGCAAGTAACTTTATTTAGGGCTACTTTTATTTATTTTTAGTCGTATGAGCTATACTTTGACAATAATATGAAGTCTACTTTGACAATAATATGAAGTCTAATAAGTAAGATACAATAATTATTTATCAAGTAATCTAAATATTAATAAAGGCAGTATGTACTACGAGATGATTAGATTTCTAGTGTATAATCGGGCACAAAAAGATATATAAGCTACATAAATCTTCCATAAATATGATTGGCTCTCGTGAATGATTTGTGAAACAGAAGACCTTAATTTAATTGGTTTCCTTATATAAAAATGCAACTGTCACCCAATGTTTTAGTATCTAGTAAGACATACTCTCTTATATTTTCTAAAATTTTCTACGTTTTAAATATTTTTTTACATTTTTTTAGAATAGTGATTATATATGTGGAAATGATAGGTATAATAACTGAACCTACAACCAGTAAGGAAACTACTTAATAGTTGACTAATTAAATTATGTTGAGATCATCTATATATATACACACACGAGTTTAACTACGGGTGAAGGAGATCTAAACCTTCATATACCTCTTTAGGAAGGTAAATAATGTCTTTACTAATTAAATTAAACTACACTTATATCAGAAATTAAGTATGTAACGTACCTTGGTTATTCCATAAAGTTAACAAATTAATTCATCCTTTGAAATAAACAAACTTGCATACATCTTCACTTCTTAATCTTATAAATTATACATGAATCTAAACATAATTCAATTAGTTAAGACATTAATAACATTTATTGATGTCGAAATCTGACTCGCTGATGTGTCCTACGGTGTAGCTGTTAGACAAGGTTACCTACAATAATGTGAGGTGTCTTGCTAAATATCCTCTGACGCTCAAGTTAGTAACTTAAAGAAACGAGAATATGGAGAGTTTTAGTATAATTAAGTTTAGTCACAAATTTTTCACCTACCTCTCCAAAAGGTAGGATTCTTCCCATAGGTGATGGGCCTAGCCAAGGAGATGATCCAATGTGGAACGTGGCGGACCCTACTTGTGTACAACCCTATCGGGCCATTAGGGGACATTCTGACGCGTGATTCCACACCTGTTGCCTGCCACCCACGATCCCACTGCAACTTCTACAACGGCCAGACACATCACGGGACTACTTGTACGTTCCTATAAGATAATCACCACTATCTTCGTAGTCGTTATTCTCTAGTGAGGTTGGTCCCTACTACCACATAGGACTCTTATACATGCGCCTCTATCCTCACCTATAACAACATTTATGATCGTAAGTTCAAATTTTCAAAAGAATAAAAGCTAATTTAAGCATAAGGAGATATCCATCTCTCATACCTTTTTTTATGCCAATGTTGGTGACCGGAGAAGTTGTAGGTACAAAACTTGATTTCATATTTTTGAACTAATATTCTTTTTTTTTTAACTAATATTCTTTGAAAGAAGAAAAACAAAAAAACAAAAATCCCAGAGTTATATAAATTTTACTTAGTGGCATTACTTTGGATTTTTTTTATTAATACTTTAATTCAAACTTATTCCAAATATATATCAACTCTCAAACTATTTTCAAGAATAATGCTTGAAAAATTATAGGTTGTTTCTTAAGAGACAACCTATGCCACTTCAGTGACTTCACAGTTTTCGGGTTGCATGGCACCTTACTGGCGCCATGTGTGTGTTTTTCTTAATTCTGGCACGTTGTCTCTTTAAAGAACAACATATGCCTTAACGGTTTAGAATTACCACTTTGGTACAGTGTTGATAAACTTGCTTTTTAATCTACAGTTCTGGGTTCAAGACTCCATTTTATCACTTTTTTTCCTTTTTTTAGTAAAAATGTTATATTAAAATTATTTTCTCTTTTAAACAAATTTAAATAAATGTTACCTATTAAAATTTATCTTCTCTTCTCAAATAAAACAACTACTAATTCTAAAAAAATAAAATAATTACTATTAAGAAAACATATTATTAAGAAAAATATAATAAGGTGTTTTTATTAAAGACTATAGTTACTACGTTAATATAATTCATTTCATTTACTTTAATAGTTAAATAAAATACATCTTCTATCCTAAAATATTTTTTAAACAATATATCTTTAATAGTTTTTTTTTAATTAACACTTGTTTCAATATTATATTTTTAGTAGCGATTATTTTATTTTTTTAGAATTAGTAATTATTTTATTTTATAAGAGAAGATAAATTTTAATAGGTAACATTTGTACTAAAAAGAAAAGAAAAAGTGATATAATTGAGACGTGAACTCAACATTCCAAATTAAAAAAGCAAGCTTACCACCACTATACCAAAGTAATAATTTTGAACAATTGAGGCATATATTATCTCTTTAAGAGACGACATGCCATAATTAAAAAGAAAACACACATGGCGCTAGCAAGGTGTCATGCAACTAAGAAACTGTGAAGTGACATAGGTTGCATTACTTTTCCAAGCATTGTTATTGAAAATAATTTAGGAGTTGATATATATTTGAAATAAGTTTGAATTATATCATTATTAAAAAAAATATATATCCGCATTACTTTACTCTATCCATTTGATAAAGTTTTTAAAGTCACTTTCAACGGTCAACTCATTAGGGCCGCCAGAGGGGCCGGGCGGCCACGACTGCCACGTTTGAATTCCTCAACGTCCCATTCTCAACTTACCTGCTTTTCACTTTACTAATTCCACCGACGTTCTCATTGGCTGAAAAAACCCATAAACCAAACCAAATAAATTCGTATTCTCTTTCCACGTATGAAACTCTGCGGTCATTGGACCGTGACGTGACAGTCAGTAGAAGTTAGAACCCCGTACTGGATTCTGGTGATAGGTTATTTTTTAAAAAAAATAATAAACATGACTACCTTTACTTATTTAGTTCATATAATTTCAATATCATCGCTATAGTTCCAAAATTTTCAATATAGTCCTTAGTCATACTTCACAACCCAAAGTTCTTTTTTTTTCTCTATTTCTTTTCCTTTTTAAGAATAGTTTGTTAAGGCAGGTAACAATTAGCTGGTATTATCTACTTAGCTGCCTATATTAAGCAAATTATATTAGAGTTTAAAACTAAGTAAATAATGGTAAAAATATGAATACATTTTTGAATGTGTAAAAAACAATTTAGGACTACTTCATGATGCTTGATCAAATATAAACACTAAATTTGTTTTAGAACAACATGTGGGATGGAGATTCGAACTTATGATTTTTGTGTTGGAGATAAATATCTTAATCAGTTTAACTGATTAACTAGGTTATCAAATATCAAAAATTTTAGACTATAACAAAATTGAAACTTTCAAACAAAAGTCCAAAAATTAAAACTATACCCAAACAATGATGATAGAATTAAAAGTTTGTTTAATCGCAAGATTAGCCCCTGCATTTTTTAATCACAAGTCTATCTCTGTGTTCTTACACTTTTAATCTTATGTCTAATAGATTCATCACCTATCACACGTTTTCTTAAAATTCAATGATCTATTAGATACACCAACATGAGCATAGCTCAACAGTAATTGACATGTACTCTTTGTCTCGAGATCGAATGTTCAATCTCCCATATCCCCAAATTGACTATTGAAAATTTTTCGAATAGGTCAAAAATCTATACACACAACTTGAAAGTCCATGTCTATTAAACACAAGTTTGAAAGATATAGGATTTAAACCTGTAATGTAGCTTTAATGTTTTTTAGATAGAAATTGAAACTAAGCTCGAGTCATTAAGCATTGAACATGAGGACTAAATTGGTAATCTAACAGGCAAGAATGGTATTGCTATATATTTCTGAAATATTATTAAAATATGTAATGTAATTTTTTAAAATAAAAATTCCCAATTTGCAAAAACTACAAATATTTACAAGAAAAGGAAAAAAAAAGGTAAATAAATGGGTTTGAAAACTGATGGAGAGGAGAGAAAGAGGAAGAATAGAGAAGAAAAGAAAAGAAAGCCGTAGAGTAGCTACCCGCTACCGCTAAATTTTCCCGGAATCTCTGGTGTTCTCTTCGTGGGAGAGCGTAAAAAGTTTTCTTTTTTTTTCTTTTCTCTTGTGAGTTGCGTCATCTGTGAGGGATTACTTTCGGTGTATCGACGTCGTTTTTTCTCTTCAATCTGCAGCCGACTTTCTGGCTTGGTCGGCGTGCATCTCCATTTCCAGCTTCTTTCCTTTCCATTTTCTTTAATCCGAAATAAACAATGTGATATTGCGTCCCCAATTGGTTGGAAAATTCAACCTCTTTGGTGGGCCTTTTGTTTCTCCTTGAATCTCAAATTACAAATAAAATCTGCTTCTGGGTTTTGTTGTTTTCTTTCTTCTCCGAATTGGGATCCATTTGAAGCTGCTTTGCATCTGGAATTTGCGCTGATTTCTGGGGTTTCTCTCCTCTCCTCTCCACAATTTTCTGACTTTTGATACTTTGTGGGTAAATTTTCTATTCTGATCATCAAATTTCTTGCGATCCGAGTTTTTCCTTCTTGTTCCTTGTTTCTGCCTGCTGACGGGTTCGGAATTCGGGTTCTGATCGTTGAATTTTTGTGCTCTGCTTGTCTTTTTCACGATTGACGTTCACTTTCTCTCTTCATCCTTTTCCGTGAAATTGATGATCTCCTGAATTTCCCCTTGGATATGGTTGATCAAGTGGGCTGATATTTCTGTTCTAATAGTTATTAATGATATCCAACAATAGAATTCATGCTTTTATGATTCCGTTATTGTGTGTGATTTTAGATTTATGAATTGGTTGACTTCGTGGTGGAAATTTTATTTCTGCCTTTTACGATCTGCCTCTGAT